CTTGGCGGGAGATACTTGTTTTGAGGAATCCCTGCAAAGCGATAGTAGGTTGGCGCCGAATCTCGCCAGTCAGCGGGGGAAGATAACCGTCACCTCTCGCGATAAAACTTGTGCACTTCTTGTCGGACTAATCGCTTAAGCAGTTGAACGGAATGAGGCAATGGAGCGGCGCGGCGGTCGCGGGCGCGCTGTGGCCGGAGGAGGCGCGCTGCTGGCGGCGGCCGGCGCCGCTGCTGCGCGGTGTCGCGCGCCCTGGGCGTGGCGCCGGCCGCTGCCCCGCCCCGCCTCCGCCCCGCCTCCGCCCCCGGACGCTCGCGCGCGCCCTGCTCCGCCGCCTACGCCGCGCTCACTTTCTGCGCCGTGCTGGCCGGCTACGGCTACAACCTGGGCTGGGAGGTGGCGCACGGCTTCCCCGACATCAAGGCGTGCCCGCCAAGGCCGTCAACGTGTTGCTGTGAGTGCGCACAGTGGCCAAAGCGCTCTGCAGTAAGACCACCACACCACCACCACCACCACACCAATAACATCATCATCAAACAACAACAACAACAACAAATTGGGGCAGACCGCACTCGCTGGGGGTATGAAATCATTTCCCTAGTAAAGTATGGTTGTTTCAAGAGTTATGCAGAGTAGGTCAAGGCGAAAACCACTACATATCCTCCGTACCACCTAAACTCATCATTCATATCTTCATAATTGCTCGCGAAAGTCATGTTACCAGTTATCGGTTCTTATCGTCAACAATAATGCGAGAATACAATAAAAAATTAATGATGGCAAAGTATGGGACTCTTAAAACTATTGGCAACACTGGGATACTATATAGTATCCATGTTGCCAAAAAGTTAATAGTATATATATATATATATTACGTATGGTATATAGGTACCAACTCCAGCCATGTCGTATTGGATGGATTAAATCAATCTCCACGCGCGGAGATTACAAACACAACTAGATACATCAGCACATTCTTACTCACATTATTTGTAACGACTACTCAGTCCGAGATAACAACCAAACACGTTGCCGCTACCCCACGCCGACGTTTGGAATGCTCGCTTCAAACTAAAGATCCTCTCGTTACTTGTAACTTTTGCAATTTTCAAAAATTTTCAGAAGATTAAAACGAAAATATGATCTCTACTATTTGTCAAGCATCCTTTGTTCTATCCGTGGGAAAAATAAAGATAGTTTGGAGTCCTTTGAGAAAAAAAGTTTTTTTTTTTGTAAATTGCATTAACTTCAAGCAGAAAGTGTGCAAAAATTACTCGGTTTTCAAAAATTGTTTTACATTATACTTTGAGGATCAAATTTCCAAACAGACTTTATTTAAGACAAAAAAGCTTCATAATCAATATTCTTACTTTTGCAATGTTATTTGTTCAATATTCTGAAACACAATTTGCCGAAAATAGGACCAGCACAATTTTTTACCGTCCTCTGATAGAAATGAAGAGACATTTTAAAGAAAAAACATTGGAGCTGTTTTTGAAAAAATAATTCTTGAAATTCTTTCACGCAAATGTCGCAAAAACTACCGTATTTCGAAAAATTGCATGTTTATTTTATTTCAATATCTGTATTTGAACAACAGCTTTATTTAAGGAAAAATTATCTTCAATATTGTAGTTGTATAAAAGTTCTGAAAAATAAAACATTGCCATTTTTGAAAATTCTGACATTTCAACGAAATTCTAGTTCTATGCTATTTTCTATGCTATCGAAGTTCTATGCTTATTTTTATACACTTTACGCTATCCGCAAACACAAGAAAGTCAAAAACATTTGAGTCATTGTCGAGAACATTTTGACAACCGTGTTGATGGCGACAGTAAAGTACTTCCACATCAAAAAATTTGGTTTCGAAGTCACAGGTTGACGTGTTCCTGTAGATCGGTGAATATCAATTTAGAAAAAAATCGTCTGATCAGTTTAGGCGCAGCGTTGACCAACAGACCGACTTGAACAGACAAACGGGCAGACGGATATACAACAGACAGACATTTTCGAGTTCAAGGGCCACAAACATGATTCTTACGTCACATTTTGTTAGAGAATTGTTAGTTACTACATATAGAACAAGATGTATCCCACTTTCCCGTTACCCAGGCCCGATAAATACGAGTTTTCTATCGAAAAACCTGCCTATATCCCGCCGCACGATACACTACTTTCTGCTTCACTAACTTAACGTAGTAAACGCGCGAGAAAGAAAAAAAGGAAGAGATATCAATCAGCATTCTCATCGTGGATAAGACTTGTGAAGAGTCGCGGCTGATTCGAGTTGAATACACTCTCTTTACAGAAGCTCGTTGAGAGAGAGTGTACCCTGCTTAACGTGTCCGCTCCCCTTCCATTGCATTCCACAATTTCGAGACCGTTCTTTATGACACAGTTAAATATGAACAATTTTAACTCATGAAGTTAATCCACTGCTGCTCAACTCTCAAGGTAAAAATTCTTTAGATTTTTCGAGCTAATCTACGAGTGCACCCCAGATCTTCACACCAATTCTTGGCTAGACCTACCCATATTCAAGGAAGTCGTTCTTCGTAGTGGTAAATGCTAAAATGTTAATCTTTCTCAAGCTTACATTGTTTTCACCTAAAGTAAGGAGACATTATGAAATATTAGTCAGTTTTGTAGTGTTTCTTTTTTATTCAATAAAGTTATACGTCAGCATATTTTATGTTATCGGATTATATCGCAGATTAACATTCCTAATGCTCAAAATTACCATTTCCGGTGCTGCAGTGCACAATAATACACACTAGTTTGTCAGCTTATTAGTTATTTACACTATTTTACAGCTATGTCAGCAGAGTTATTTTCACTTGAGAGCGTAGGCTTGCGCGACGGAGTCGAAGTATATTAACTAGGTTTGGTCCGGGTGACGCCGCGGTCCATGGCGAAGGTGCCGACGTGTCCGTCGCCATCTGCGACCTTCCTTAGGGGCTTAATCGAGGCTACTGCGAGGCGAGTAGCATTACGGCCCTGAGGAAGGTCGCAGAATGGCGACCGAAAACGTCGCGCAACTTCGCCATGGGAAGCAACGTCACCCGGACAGCCTAGTAAATAGAGTTATGTTAACACTATTGCCAGCTTTTGTCTTTAATTATCATCTAATCCATTTTCTCTGGGAAATTGTGTACTTTCAGACACAGATTTTACATTTCATCGGCACCTTTTGGCCACAGTTGCGCAGTAGCTTCACTCCACATCCGAAAGGCTGAGAGGTTTCCCACACATTTTTCCTGTTTCTTCTTTTCTTTCGTTTCAAGAGATTAGTACGTGTCCTGACCGGCGAAGGAACGATAGCGTAGAATTATCTGACTTGCGTTGTTGGCGCTAATGAGGTAGGAGACCACGTATTGGCCTGACATTAACCATCTGATCTCATGTCTCGCAGAGCTCACTTAGGCGCGATGAGTGCATTCTAGATGTAGTGTGTGTTGTCATTTATCCGAGGTTACAATACTTCACAAATCATTCAAAATCAATGCCATTTAGTATATCTTCTTTATTCTGTACATCGTT